TGTTCGCTTGAAGTACCTGCATCCCGTGCATCCCCGAACTTCCATGACGGAAGTAGACTCGTCTGGAAACGGAACGCGCCTCGGTCTTTCATTTTCGAGCCGAAGGAAGCGTACGACCGGTGAAAATGTACGTGTACGCGAGACGGAGAGAGAGAGAAAAAGAGAAAGAGAACGAGAATCAGAGAGAGAGAAGCAAAGGGCATGGTCGGCTGGCTCGGTCAAGTTGCAATTAAATCGGCGGGCTTCCTTTCCGCGTGACGTGGGCGTCCCGTGGGGTGGGCGCGCAGCCAGGTAGCACCCTCGGGGCTTGCAAATAAGGTTAGTTAGCGGCAACGCGTGTATAATTGGGGCGCCAGCGCCGTCAAAACAACGAGGCCTCTCGCACGTCCTACGGCCAAGTTATAATGAACAGAGCGCGAACCACGCGAGCTCGTCGCGTCTTCCGTGCGCGGATTTCCAGCCCCGGAGGAAACAACGAACGACGAACGACGACGACGACGACGACGACGACGACGATGACGACGCGCACGCGTCCGTCGAGGAGATACAGAAGTGGTGGTGCGGCGCGTGCAACGCGCTTAATCGACCAACTTTATCAAACTTTGCAGGCAAGTTACGCTACGAGCCCGCGACTCGTAATAAACGTAGGAAGAAGCGAGTTGGGAAAAGAGAAAGAGCTTTGCTAGATGCTGCGTCGCTACGCTCCATCGAATACGCGGAGAGTCTCTTCCTTTCTCCTTTCCCTCTTTGACTTCGTCGTTGTCAACTACTCGATCTTCCAATTTGGAAACACGTTTGAAGATATTTATTTCACCGATATAAACTCTGTTACTTGGCGTGTATATTCTTATAGTACTAATTGTAAGATGATAAGAATCATTAATACTAAGATTACTTGATACTAACGTGTATACTTTTATAGTATTAAGATGATACTTAAAATCATAAATACAATTGTACAATTGTATATCTGTTTCGTCTAAGAAGTGAAGACTTCAAAATTTTTAACAGAAATGTATGTATTATATTATGCATACTATATTCTACATGATAATAATACTAAAATGTAAATAATATAAAATGATAATAATACTAAAATGTAAAATAAAGTAAAATAAAAAACCTCTTTATAATACTAAAATGTTAATTAATTATACTTAAAAGTCATAAATTTTAACACTGTAAGAGAAACATATGAAAAAGTTTTATGTAAAAGGACTACTCCAAAATTTTGAACATGTACAAGTAAATGAATTTGTAATAATAATAACTTTTTTTCATAATATTCAGACAATTAATTACACTGAAGAATCACAAATACAATTATAATACTCTTATGAGAAAAACGTATGAAAATAAAAAGCAAAGTTACGAAATTTCGAACGGCAATGTGTACCATATCGTCTAATAATTTATTCATAACAACGTAATGTTTCCTTTTACTTGCATTAATATAACTCCGTAGAGATGAGAATTTAAAAGAAACAAATGCAAAAGAAAAATCCGGTAGGAAAGAGGACAGCGAAGCTCAATTCAATCAACATTCCGACGCGAATGACCGGCCAGAAGGAAATTACCGCGGTGCGGTCGTCAACCGCGGTTGATTCGAGCAAATGGCACCGGACGTACTCGACGGATGTCTTACCGGCATAAAAATCGAGCCTAATCGGAAGTCGGCCGTTTAAAACGTGGGATTGCAGAGGCCGGAGTGTAACTGGAGTTGCCATTCGAGTCACGAGTCGCGCGCGCACTCCACGCGTTGCCTGCAATGCGTGCCGCTTTATTGCGTAATTGCTGGCGCTACCTCCTCTCCTTCCTGCATACGTGCGTGCGTGGAGAATACGGCCCTCTGTCTCTAACGTGATCCGGCAGTTTGACAGAGCAGCAACGATTTTGAGAATAATTGTCCCGCAATCGGGCCGTGATTGCAACGTTCGATCCAGCAATGACATCTCGACTGTACTGAAAATCGTACAAATGATTTATAACGTTGAAAAATTTAATCGTCTCGTATGTGCGAATAATGTGCTAAAAAATTCTAACTGAAACGAGAGAGAGAGGTACAACTTGTACAACTGTCTCTGAATCGACGAGGAATTCGAGTGATAATAATTTTAAACGTGCAATCATGTACCTCGTGTATATGCCTGGTAGGCATATAGTTTCGCATGAAAACTTCCTTCCATTCTGTCAACCGGCTAATTCCACGCGGCGTGATCTGCCTGTGCTTGAAACTTCCTCTCGAAATTTCCTCTTCCGTCAGGTAGGCCCCGACAAAGTCGTCTCGATCATGGTTCGCTGGCTGTAACAGGGAGGGCATCAATTCCGCCGACGATAAGCACGAATTAAGACGCCACCCGTGGTACTTTATTCGTCGATACAAAGTTCCTCCAGCTCGGCTCGGAGGAACAAGAGAAGGAGGGCGAGAGAGGATGGGGCGAGCGTTGCAGACGCAGCCGTAGAGTTTTCGCTTTATTTCACGGCCGTCTCCTCGATCGTGACAGCGTAGGAGGAAGGCTCACCCCCCTCGAGACTGGATTGACACTTTAATGAACGACAGAGAGAGAGAGAGAGAGAGAGAGAGAGAG